CAATTCTTATGGTTTTGGCTTTGAATTACAGCCTGGTTATGAACGGCTCTGCTGTTTGAGGTGCATGCAACCACGAGATCACAACTTTCAAACAACTTGTGTCTGCCGAGTTCCACAGCATCTTAGGGAGGAGAAGGTTATTGAATGTGTCCATTGCGGCTGTAAAGGTTGTGCAAGCGGAGATTAACCTGTTCTTTAGAATCAACTAGTGCTTAATTTTACATGTTTTGTACTTGTAGTAAACCTACATTATTCAAAGCACTGATCAAACGATGTCTAGAACATCGTAGTCAGTTCAATGCTTGAGGTTGTGTTGGATGAGATAACAATTGTGGTCACAGTACCTATTGTAAACTGTATAACCTATTTATAGACTACTTGCCTTCAGATAGTTTTGATATGGTTGTTTGCAAGTTAATCATTACAGCATATCAGAATAGTTAGTGTAAAAGCTACTTGGGTTGCAGGATGCTTAGACAATTTAAGTGTCACATTTGGTAGGGATAGAAGTTGTAAGAGATTTTAATAGACGTAGTGTAAAATTCATGACTTTTCAATTCCCTGATACTGTCACAGTAGAATGTCTAAAATCAGTATTGAGATATGTATACCATAAAAGTCGATATTTCACGAATCTGGTCAAGACCAACTGCACATTTGCTCAAAGATTTTACAGTTCAAGTGATTCCATGGTTGATAGTCAATCTGAATTGAGCTTCAATATCTCCATCTTAACACGCTTAATGAACATCCTCCTTAATTGGAGATCTCCTTTTTCTTCCTGTCGGAGGCAAAACTGCAGAAGAATTTGCTAATGTGAGCTGCGACGCAAAGTCATGTCTGGCTCTAACCTTCTTGAATATTTGGAAGATCCATCTCTTGGAACTGTGAGTAAACTGTAGAAGTGAATCACAGTTCTCTATTAGCAGAAACGAGCTTCAGTAATTTCGCCAGATCATAAGACTTGAAATCTTTGCCATAACAAAGGCTAAGATCAAGCGGTGTATTGCCATCCTGTCAAACGTAAATGTTCAAAGGCTATTAAAATTTTCACATGCATACCTGTCTAAGGAAAGAGAAGCACAAACTAATAGGGAGATCAATGGCAAGGTATAGAAAAGTCCACCATGGAAAGTCCTCCCATCCCAGGAAAATTATAGTGCGCAAGTGCGATAAAAACAATTATTTTTTTTGTATATACATAAACCGTTGAATCCTCTTAACATAAGGAAGATTCTAGGTATACCATTTTTGCATTTTTTCGAATCCCTATTCGTGGCTCACTCATCCTACATATAGTCATGGTGGATAGTATCTTTTATCATTCATCTACCGTTTGAGTTGGATTGGCACGTCTATATTCGGCTTGAATGACCTTTACCATCTTTTCTCAAAGCTGAGGGCAAAATGAGTTGTAATCGGGATATTTTATCAATGAGAAGAACATCATTAGAGTTGCATTTTAAAGATTTTTGGGGAAAAACTTAGCTTTGCAAAATCAGTTGACTTAAACACGCATACATATAGGTAGTAGGAGGTATTAAAAACCACCCAACTGGCCAGTATGGATAGTTCTTAAGCGTATGTTAAGCCGTAGAAACGGAACCAGCAATAACACTAGTTTGGCACTAAAGTTATAGCTACAATTACCTTATTCTTCCTGTACTTATCTGCTCCACTGACTAGAAGAATTTTGGCTATATCTCTATGTCTGCTTTGCATGGCCACATGCAGCGGCGTCCAGCCCTCCTGTAAGAAGGAATTACTACAAATAAGCTAACAGGACCATGAAAATGTAAGAAAATAAAATAAAATGTTCACTTACATTATCAGCAACATTCACATCAACCTTGTATTTGATTAACAACTTTACAGTTTGCATGGCTCCTACTTGAACTGCATAATGAAGCGGGGTAACACCGTCCTGTTAACAGGGAGAAAAAGACATAAAATATGATGTAATCCCTGTAATTAAACTTTAAGCAAGTTGTTTACAAAGTGAAAAGCAAAAGAGAGCTGTCTCACCAAATCCCTAACTTGAGGATTTGCATCTTTTCTTAGAAGATGACTGATGACAGCCTCTTTTTTACCAAAAACCGCATGGTGGAGAGCAGTTCGCCCTTCCTGTCATCAAATTAACTGAATAACTTACTTCATACCAAACGAATGAACAAAGGTATTAGGGAATACAACGAATCTTACCTTGTCAACAACATCAATATCGAGACCTTCCTCTAGAAGTCTATCCATAAATCGTATCTGCCCTGCTAATGCAAAAGTGTGAAGAGGGTTCCATTTTTCCTGGATTGGACACACATCCAATAGTATCAGGACTTGTTCCAGAAACCAGTAAAAGAATGTATGATTTCTTTTCAATAATGTAGATTTTGGTCTCTACAGTTTGTAAGCAGTTTCTAACAGTTAGAATAGCAAGCCCCTGGCTTGCACGAAAGACTACTAATTTACTTATCAGAGAAGATGTTAGCATGAAAAGAGGCAGCTGGAGGTCCTACGAACTTACAGTTGATATCTTATCCAGCTCTGGAGTTTGGTTGCGGTACAAAATTTCCCTTTCCTCTGGGCTCAAAAGCTGTTCAACCTCTGAAACAAAAACAAAAGTTAGATACTAATACTTTATCGTTCACATGCCCAAGCGCACTGAACTTTTTTTTTGTGCAAGTGTTGAGGGGGGTTTTGGGTGTGGGGTTTGTGTGTGTGGGAGAGCTAATTGAACCTGAAGCATTTCGAAACGACTATAACAGATTAGCTGAATTGATGCACTAGAGCTTCTGTCAACTGAAGTTAAGATACAAAACTAAATCAGAACGAAATGACGCAACACAACTTATTAACATCATCTGCTGGAAGTCTGGAACTATCCATTCTACGATGTTTATCTCTAACATTTCCTTGCTTCATTTTGTAACTTTCCTTCTTTCATCTGTTCACGAGGCTGTCAAAAGACAGAAAACCACTAATATCTACCAGGAGTCGTTTTGGTTGTATGCCGCTATGTATTTCCATAGNAAAAAAAAATAGTAGTGTCTGAGCTAGCTTGCGGCATGTCTTGATTATTCCACTAGATACCAGCTACCTCCTTCTTCCTGCATCCCATCAACACAGGTACCGAATAACTCGGCCCACCAAGGCTCAGGGGAAGAAATCACCTAACTTAGTTTTTCTTTTATCCCTTCTGTTATAGTTTGAATAAACTATCATTTTTCAAGAATTTTCTGAAGACAACAACAATTATATAACTGTCCCACTTGGAAACAGAAAAAAGAATATACCTTTCATAAACTCCTCTTCAGAGTTGCTACTAGACAACCCATTTGTAGAATTAGCTGTTGCTTTATTTTCTGCTCCATAGTCCCACTTACTCTCAACATCCATATCTTCTTCTTCCTCTTCCATTTCATTCTCTTCTTCTTCTTGTTCTTCCTCTTCATCTTCACTATCACTACCATCATCAGGATCTTCCCAAAAAGAAGCTTTGGTTAAGTTGACTACGTTAGTCCTTTTAGTACAATTGTGAAAATAACAAATTTTGACTACATTAATTCTTCTGGGAAATCCGAAAGAAATGACATTGGAGCAGCCTAAACTGGAGTTATAAGTAGTTGTAGTTGCGCATAGCTGTGTGGATAGGGCAGCTGGATTACTCTGCAACACCATTATTTTCTCCATTTTCAATCTTCAGGCTAAATTATACCAGCAAAACCAAGACTCCCATAAACCAAGAAGGTAGATTGTGAAAGAGCTTGGATGATTACTCTCTTTGAGGCATTTTGTCGAACAGGTTAGAGGCTTCCGATGGGCTATTCAGATAGGATTACTTCTTTTGTTTCTGGCCTTTTAGGGAGTGACAAGCAACGCATCAGATTATGCAGTCCTTTAATGTGGGCCTGTCTAATAGGTATCACCCTTTTGGGCTGTGATAAGCCAGCCCATGCATATTTAACTCTCAAGAACAAATAAAAGAAGCCCGGAGTTAAACTTTGAAAGTAAAAATAGCACGGGCTAGCCAGTTTTCGGACTGGTAATTCAAAACTAGCCAGCGTTTGCATATTTATTAAAAAATAGTCACTATTTTGCTGTAACACGGAAAGTTCCAGTATAATATACTGGAGATTGGTGCACCTGTGTATGAACTTCCAGCATATTATGCTGGAACTCCATACACGGAAAGTTCCAGTATAATATACTGGAGATTGGTGCACCTGTGTATGAACTTCCAGCATATTATGCTGGAACTCCATACACGGAAAGTTCCAGCATAATATAATGGAGATTGAAGCACTTGTGTATAAACTTCCAGCATATTTTACCGGACCGATATATTATACTGGAACTCTAGTATATTATACTGGAATTCCAGTATATTATGCTGGAAAATTTTCCGGATTTTGAACAGTGTTTTCGTTCAAATTTATTTTTACATGAAAGTGGCCAAATTTTGATTACTTTTGAAACTGTGGGTATTTTTCAATGATCACTTGTAAATCTGACTATTTTGAATTTCTCCCAACTTGAAAGGGTAATTGACAAGAATGACCCTATAAGGTACTGATCTTTAAATATTGCTATCGTTTTGTACGTATTTAAAAAATAACCTTCTGACTGCGCAGATTGTCAGTGATGTCTCGAGTTTATACTATATTTACTCTATTTATATTGTTAATTGTTCATAACTCTATCCGGTTGCCATGATTTTGTGTTTGTTTAACTATTCACCGAACTCTACCAAATTAGCGTAATTTTGTGATATATACAATCTATCGTTAAATTGTTCATCAAAGCCTATATGTTTCGCATAATTTTTCTGTGTTGTTCAATAAAATAGCCTTTGAATTTGCAACCAATTTCGATCAAACCACCCTAATCTGCATTAAATGATCTCAAATTTGAAACAAAGCCTCCAAATACCAGCACAAATTATTTTCAATCACCTATTTAGTCAAATAACACTAAATCAAGAAGACTCACTTTGTCTTCTTTAATACTTTCTAAGGATCAACAATAGAGTTTTGAGATTCTTAAAGTAAATCACGAAATCAATGTTTAAACTAAAAGCTGAAGCATAAAAAATCAAATAATTTTAATCATAATTAACTATGAACTTTTAATTTTTAACCCCAAACAAGAATTTTAATCTTCCAAAATTAAAGAATTATGATGTTCTTGGTGAAAAAGCAGACATGGAGAAGAAGGAGCTAATGGAGCAAAGAGGCAGAGTCCATTTATTAAATATATACCACCAATTACAAGGATATTTAGCTAAGACTGGTCTTATTAGGGGACACTAGAGGCAGATCTAGAATTTTAGTTCTTTGGGTTCAGAATTTAAAGTTATGAGTTCATATCTACTATTTATTGCAACTTTAGCAAATTTTTACACGT